GAGCTCAAATTGAAGTTAAGTTGAGAACTAAGGTATTTCTCAAATCTCCAACGTTGTTTCTCAACAGTACCTCAAGTGGAGGATGATAGCGTTCTCAACAAAAAGGGCATTTTTCTTTGTATGAAAAAAGGACTGTTTATCAAGTTGAGAAAATGCTAGTTATCAACTTGAACTCCAATGTAATTCTCCAATTGGTCTCAAACATATCATTGAAATACTGAAATTGAAATAGTAAAATACCTCATACCTTTTTGATTGAATCGACATACATAGATGAATTTAAATATTAATTTTTCATTTTATTACTCCTTTTATATTATGTAGTTAATCAATATCGTATTACAATAATTCACTTCACAGTATACAGTCCGACAGTAACTTTGCCATTAGATTCACTTGGCGTTTTATTTTCTTTCAAGATTATTTGAGGATATTTTAAAGATTATTTACTTTTTGTTGGTAATTTTCCCCTTTATATAGCTTTAGTTTTTCACTTGATAATTAAAAATTCGTTTCTCTATCACTTTTTACGTATCTGCGCGTCGGTTAGAGATGAGTTGGAGAATGATGTTGGATATCAACTTGGAACTATGAGTTTCTCCAAGGTTGGAGAAATATTTTTTTAGTGTTTATTGGGTTCTATCGCTATCAGAAGCGAATTTGATATGTTTCTCTGTCCGTCAATCTACGTTTACGCTACGTCGTTGTGTGCCAGCCCTATAATACATATTATGTACATACATACATATAATCACTCATATTAAATTTTTATACCCCACATTTGTTTTCGTAGAAGTTTCCGCTTTTAGTTCGGTTTAGATACGATTAGAATTTAATTATTTAAAATGCAATATAGCGCACATCGTCGGCGATACTGCAAAACGTTATATGTCCCTTATTACCCTTGGTGCTTAATTGATCTGTTATCTGTAACTGATCGCTTTTCTGGCAATCGTTCATCTTCATCAGCAAAAGGTAGACAGTCTTGTCATTCGTTTATTAGGGTGAAACAATTTACAGATGCATTCCGGCGCAAGTAAGAGATAATTTAAGTGTCAAGGGTACTAATAAACATAGACCGTTTTGCAGTATCACCGACGACATGTATGTACATTGTACATTGTACATATGTATGTATAACCGCTTTAGTGCAGTGTGCTATAGTACATACTAGTTCCGATCCCGTATGAGTCCGGACCAGTCAGAAATAGTCGGTTCGCTGACTATTGGGAGGACACAAATAAGACTAAATAAGGTTCTCTCTGTGTCAGAAGTTACCAGTTTCAGTCCGAAGATTTTTTGCTTGTAAATTCTGGTAAATGTGTCAAACGATCAGCTGTACTGTGTTTGGCAACCAAATTGTAAACAAAATAAAAGTGCACTCTGCTAATTCATGTTGAAAACTATTTAATTACTTGTTTAAGTGGATTTGAAAGTATTTTTGGTTATTTACATGTGTGGGCTGAGTGTGTTTACATTCAAAATAAGCAAAAAAATACAACCAAAGTTTGGAGGTTATGTTGAATTTGTCAGAAGTTACCATTTCTTTACTAGAAAGCGATCCCGTACTTTTCAGTGTTACTCTCTCGCTCTTAGCGAATTTTTAGGTTTTGAATACGGGATTGGACCTACTGCGGGAATATACTTTTCTTGTAAGTTGTATCAGAACTAATGTGGTTAATTTGTTGGATAACTACCCAATATTACTGTATTAAATTGATAACAGTTTTAACTGGCGTCGTTTTGTTTTAGCTACCGCGTTAAATCAGTGCTGGGTTAAGTTTTGTTTTTCTCATTCTAAAACTTCGAGTTAGTTTATTTTAGTTTATCAGTAATAGATTGTAATTCAAAGTGTTCGGATGCAATTTTGGCAATAAAATTTAAAAATCAAATCTTAGCTTGGTTGAGGCAAGTGAATAAAAAATTAAAGAAAAAGTCTGGGAAAATCGCTAGAATTGCAAACGGATATGAAAGGGAAGCGAAAATACCGATCGACGGTCTATAAAATTCGCATATCCACTGCTGAACTTGTAGCATTAGTTGCATTCGCGTACCTTATAATTATTGATAGTTATCAAAAGTGACCAGCTGTGCCACTTGCAAAGTAGGGGAAATTGAGAGAGTAAAGCGACATTTCATTTTGAGTGGAGGTTTTTGGGTTCTGATGGAAAAATTTTTACCAGCAGCAATTGGCCATCAAGAGAACAGCTGATCAAAAATCGCTATATGGAATTTACGCAAATCACTAAATTTAATTTGTTGTTTTGGAAGTGAAATATGATAAAATATGACTGATTAAACTTGCAAGAAGTAAGCAATTATTCGCTTAGTCAATAAATTGTGTGAGGATAACACTTTGCGATCAATTTTCTTAAGGCAGTGTCACACGATTGGGCATTTGCCCACAATTTGGTGCAAATTGTATCCCAGTCGTGTGAATGCACACATACATATTTTCTTTATCACAATCACGAATTATACCAGGGAAGTAATTAGAGCGAGAAGAAAACTTTTGACATGGCCTTATTTGAAAATTTGCCTATAAAACTTGACTATAACGGCCAGTTTTTCAGTGCACGGCCGTGGTTTAAATTCAGGTTAAACGCACAATCTGGCTTTTGTTTAAACTAGAGCTGTAGAACTACCGATCGTCATCAAATTCTATGTTTTCGATAGTTCGCATGGAAACTATATAGCGATTTTCAGTAACTTTGGCCTTTCACTTCGATACAAGAATCTCCGAAACTTGACTAACCCTGGCTTATATCAATAGTTTCTTCCATCGAAGCAGAATCACTAACACCATAGTTTGGTTCCAAAAAGATCTACAAACTAGTTTTTTTTTTTAAATTTAATTACACCCGATTTAAATGATTCAAACACTTTAAAGCAATTCTGGTTCATTCTCTTTTATATTTTCTATTTGGGAAAATGTCAAAAGCAAAGTAAGAAACTTGAAACCACTTGATGCTACAGACTCACCCCTCTCTTCCACTAGCAATCAGAATTGAATTTATTACTTGAACCGTGTAAAACCCGGTAATAGGTAAAAAAATAAAAGCTTATAAAAATAGTGATGTTTAAGCAAATCAATGTAGCCAAATCCCCATTTTCTAAAATAAAGTAATGCATACTAAGAAGTACAGATAATATAAACAATATATATATTTTCTCAAACAAAGACTATCGTTAGTGGCCAACGACCATCCGATAGTACAAAAAATAAAACCAATCGATAGTACCATCGATAGTTTTACAGCTCTAGTTTAAACTAATATCAGCCAATCAAATGTCAGCCAGCTGTTCAATTTAAACTCAGTTTACGAAAACTAAGTTTAAACTGGCACTGAAAAACTGGCTCTAAGGCAGTCAAATGTCAGAAAATAAAGAGAGAAAGCAATTTTATTACTTAACCTGTTTATTGCGCCATGACGAAAAAAAATTTGTTAAAATTTTTCAATAGAAGTTCGCTGTATTGTACCAATCGTGTGACTAAAAAAAATGTTCGTCCCAATTTTTTCATTTTGTACCAATATAAAATATATACAAATCTGTACAAATGTACCAATCGTGTGACACTGCCTGTACGTTTTCAATTTTAATCTTTTAAATGTAAACAAAAATTATATCAGCTGTTCGTACAACTTGCAATTTTCTGTTCTCGTATTAGTGATGTGCGGTTCCGAGTATTTGAAGAACCGGTTCTGGCGAGAATTTGGACCGCTTCCGGTTATAAAAAAAAGGAGTAATGGAAATAATAATAAGAAATGGCGCTTACACATATGTAAGGCACATTAAACGGGTAGTATCAGTAGAGCAAAAACAACATTTGCGTGTATTTTGTTGTTGCTTCTGGTATCGAAAGTGTCAAAAACTGTTCTGAATTTTTTCTTCTAAATCAAAGCGGGCCATGTGAAATACAAAAAATTATAAAAAATAAAAAAATGAAATTGGAAAAAATAAAAATTGATGCAACTTTCTTTCCTAGTAAATTTGTTTGCTTCTCGAAGCATTGATCCATCCTTTGCAAGGCCCAGTAATCAGCGGTCGTGCTGCCGAGTTGGGCGAACGTTCCAAAAGCTGCTATTCAATCGCTTGTTTTGTATGGAAAAAGGTTTCACATGCAAATGGATTTTAACAATTCAGAATTTTTGTGAGAAAAAATGAAAAATATTTGACATTTTCGAGACCAAATAATTTGAAAATAAATCAAATCAGCTGCTCTACTGATACTACCTGTTCAATGTACCTTGCACATATGTTAGTGTTTCTCCGATTTGAGACTACTGACATATGTATGTAGCAGATAAAGCCAATCTATTAGCCTATGTAAGATTTCCGACCATTGAACCAATAGAAGAAGAAATAGTTATTATTTGGCAGAGCTTCACCTACCAGTATGACTGGGGCTGATTTCTTCAACTGTTTGGTTGGTTTTTTTTGAAAGAAAATAAAATTGATTGATTTAAGTATGTTAGCATCGAAAATGAAGGCAGTTTCTCCATTAGTTGAATGGACTCACGCTGGTATTCACATAGACTAGGGCTGCCATAATCCTTATCCCTATAAATAGAGTTTCCTTGGTTCTGGCGTTGCATTATTTTGAAGTATTTTCTGTTATTATAAGCAATTTAGTTTTGTGGCACAATCCGTATTATTATTATAGCATACAATTTATTTTAGCGATAAATGGCAAAAGCAACTTTTAATTACATAAAATGATTTATGATTGAAATGCAACGTTTTGGTGTGGACCTTTACATTTTATGTACTTTAGTTATTGGTTTATTGTTTTTGTCTCTTCCATTTTTAATCATTTTATCTCGATGAATACGGATCAAACTCGTCCCAAGTTTGGAATTTCGTACACCTAAGAGCTAGGCCTGGCTTGTATAGCAAAAGAAAAGCCTTCATTTGAAATACGGGCACAAAGCAAACAACTGACATTATAGGTTGATTTTTAAACAAATAAATAACATGTTTTTTTACATTTGTATTACAGGATAAATTAAGAGTTCTAAAAGATGTCTCCAAGGCGGTAAGTAGAGTTAAAAAAATATATTTTGGTATGCATCAGGGACGGCAAAGGTGTAAATTTTCTTTAATATTACATAAGAAAATATCTCTTGTTTATTGTAAAAGTCTTACCTAAAATATTTATAATTCCGAAAAATTTAAACAAAAGGATATAAAGTGTTTCCTCCTTGAGCAAAAAAGATTATAACTAAGTAAATATATATAAAAAAATTACCGTAAAATTTCATCCAGAGGAGGAAAGTGTCATCAGACCAGGGTCTTCAACTAATTTGTATGCTCTCCCCGAATGCACACCCGGAAAATCCACGATGTTTATTTGCAATAGTACCTTAGGACGTATGCAAAGGTTTTCACCTAAACATGCAGTCTTATGAGGAGAATAAA